TACTCTTTACTCTTTACTCTTTACTCTTTACTCTTTACTCTTTACTCGGGAGGAGATGACATATGCAGCGCAAGTAACCCATCCACTAATTCACCCTTTCCAGCAGGTCTTAACTTACCCGATGACGCGATAACCGATGCTGCCCCTGGCCTACTACTGCTCCGCCCCTGAGATAATGGATAAATTTGAACAGTTTTAACGTTTCCAATCAAGATTACAAATACGGTTTTTAAAGTTTAATTCGAGATACTTTTAAAAAAAACACTATTTATTACTTTTTAAAAAATAAAAAAAGAATTCAATGCAAACATTTAACAGTGATGGAGTTAAACTTGAAAAGTTTGTTAGAGTATGAAAGTCTCCCGTACCAAATCGAAGTGTTTTGCTGTTAGTTTAAAAGATTGAAATTTATGACCGCAACCTGGAACTACTCATATTATTTGTCCTAGTTTTTGTGAATGTAAAGGTTGATTTTTGTGTACTACACGACTAAGTTCGGTAAGAGTTGGGCAGTTCATGCTAGAGTGTATTGACGATGTCTCGCGGAAAGTCCAGTATCAGAAGCATTTTTTATTGAGGGATATAGGCTGAAAACAAAACTAAGACAGAGATACGCGGTGGAGACTGTTACATGTATTTATTTTCGTGGTTGCTAAAGTAGAAAAGAATAGGGTTTTTAAATGATTCCGGAACATCTTAATTCCGTAAGAGAAAAAGTCCCCGGGAAACAGAAGTTTCTAACTTCCCGAGTATTCCGCAGTCAATAATCTTATTGCAAGGCGACGGCAACCCTACCGCCTATTCAAGGAAGCGATGAGGAAATCACGATAGGCGAGATTACATTCCTCCAAAATAAATATTTTCATCAATATGACTTAGTTTCGTTTCTCTTCTTCGTGGACACAAAAGCACTTGATTTATTATTCAGGTATCGCCTTTACTTGCTTGAATTATTGCTGTTTAGGTAAACAGTTAATTAAACAGTTAATGGGCTTCAAATCAGAGTTGTGAAGTTTCAGAGTTGGTGGAGTTTTATGGGCAAACGCATTACGACTGTCATTTTCGGTCGATTTGAACGTTATCGATGGTTATAAGTTGTTTGTTTACTTTCGTTATATCTTTTTTTAGACCAAATGATACTTTGCATAATTATGCTACTACTTTTGTGAAGGTGCAATGTCGCATGATCATTTTATACAGTATGTGCTATGCCGTAATTATGGTGGTTGTATTCGAGGTGTAAAGTTCTTTTCTTTTTCGACAAACAAACCCTGCAATATGATAACGAATTTTGAACTGGTGTCTTTATTAAAAAGTTTGGAATTCTGCAGTCTTACGGCCTGCTAGCGGAAAGCGGTAATTTTTACGGCATTTTTACTGTCACAGTTTTGATGAGATAACGTAGTGGTTTGGAATCAGTATCTCTCGCTCTCTCTAAATAAAGCATTGACAATAAAACCAAACAAATTATTTACCATTTAGACTACGCAACCAATGTCAAATCATAGTACGACCAAAACCAAAGTAATTACCTAATTACTTTCCACACTCAATTGAAAACCGCTCTACCTGTTACGAACACCAGCCATATGATACTGAACAATACTACATTTTAAAATTATTCCTCTCTATTTCTTTTATATGTTCCGTAACTGACTTATAATATAAAATAAGCTTTACCTCGCCACCCCCAACCTCAAAAGACCTTGGAAAGAAATAAAAGGCTCAATAAGGTCCTCGTGACTGAACA